AAATGTGTACGCATAAACACGATTGTGACGCCGAATTGACGTCACGATGCGCACAATATGAAACTCGAAGAGTAGAGATCAACTATCCACTAATCACTGGTATTAGAGTTTCACCCATTTTACGTGAAGTGGCGTCGTAAAACTCTGTGAAAAACGCGGTGATATGCAGTAGTCGTGAAATATATTTTTCACTACTGTTTTTCATATCACTAGGGTGGTGAAACTTCATTTGTAAGAAACCAGCACGCGAGTTAAAGAGTTTTGGGATACCCGGAATAAACTACTCACTAATAAAACAACAATACTCACATATTCTAAATCTACGAAAATTCTCTATTTTATGTTCACTCCGATTTCCTCTGTCCCTTTTGAAAACTGGAGTTTCACCGCCCTAGTGATATGAAAAACATATTTCACGGCTACTGCATATCACCGCGAATATCATCGCGTTTTTCACTTCACGTAAAACGGGTGAAACTTCAATACATCTACCATAGCCCGAAAAATGTACATTTTTTCTGTCGTATAAATTTCTTCAACAAACGTGAAATATACAAATGCTTCTCAGTTGGCCAGCACCTACCCCTAAAACGGTCAGTTCTGGGTGAGCACAACGTCGGCTCACAACTATCTGCGATTGCCTGAGAAAACATGCACATGATGATGCACAGCTACACGTGTTGGTGACAATATGAAAATTCTGAAAAAAAAACTTCTACCCGAAATCGTTTGGGAGCTCCTGAGCTCAGCTGAGTAAGCAAACATATACTCCAACATTGCTCACTAGTACGCCACGCGTTCGGCGAACTTACCTCTGAAACTCAGTTGAGGCATATACCTCCGGTTGAAATTCACGGGCCGATATTTTTCGTGGCCATAAAAAGTTTTTCGTGAAAAATTTTATATTTCCCAAAGTTTTTAATTTATTTTTTTTTGTCGTGTTCTGATTTTTCCTATTTGTGGGAAAATAATTTGCACTCACGCGCCCTCGAAACAATGAGAATTGCAATATATAAGATGTGTGCCAATTTGATATGTAAATGTGTGTTTTCTATTGCCGGGATTAATGATAGTAAACAACTTGTCGCTATCACAGTCGAAGGAAGGTTACTTTTATAACATCACATGTTCATACCAATACTAAACGAATATTTGCATATCAAATTGACCCGCACTATATCAAAGGGAATCTTAGGTTCAGAGTTGGTAGATACGGATTAGGTCCGATACTGTACATTTTCGATATCGAAACCGCATTTGCATATCAAATTACCCCCACAAACTCTTTGCTTTAACTTACTTCAATTTTCTTGTCAATCTCAGAGACTCTATTACAACTACGTGGTAGCGTTTTCGATAGTGAACTTGGTCCTAAACAGTGTATGGGGGGGGAATATGCACATGGTCAACTACGTGTGTTGGTGATGACAATATTCGAAAATTGTAAGAAAATTTCGGGAGATTTTATTAGTTTTTTGTGTAAATTTCGAGTGTTTGTTTTGTGTTGATAACATGAAAATCCCTGTTAGTTTTTGTACACTTCTACGCGAATTCATGCCTTAACTTTTATAGTTGAAATCTCTTGAGCTCAGTAGCTGAGGAAAGAAAACATATATTCCTCCAACACTGGAGTTTCACCCGTGATATGAAAAACATATTTCACGTTCGACTGCGCGAAAAATTCATGTGAGCAATGGAGTTTCA